GCTATATGAAAAAAATTCTCCAAACAAAAATTAGAAAAACACCAATTAAAGTAACTCTAAGATTCTACCTCATACCCAATCAACTATGAAGCTGACAAAAAAAAAATGAAATGACAAATGCTGGAGGGGTTTCAGAAAAACTGGCATACTAATGTGCTATTGGTAGAGCTAAGTGGTCTAGCCATTCTGGAAAACAATTTGGAACTATTGCCCCCCCTCAAAAAAAAAAGTTACTAAACTGTGCACATACTTTGACCTAGCGAAACCACTACCAAGTCTAAACTTACAAAGAAATCAAAGACAGAAAAAGGACCAAAATGTATAAAAAATATTTATAACCACTATTTCGTGCTGGCAAAGAATCAGAAGCTAAGGGAAGTAAACAAATGGCACACAAACACCGTGGAATATCACTGGGTCATAAGAGACCCAATGGACAATTTAGGGAAAAACTGAGGAGATCTACATAAACTTAACTGACAAATCCAAGGGCCTTTTCTCAGTCCTCATCTTTCTGGTCCTCTCTACAGCCTGACACTGTGAATCACCCTCTTTTTATGGATGTTCTTTGCTCTCTAGGTCTCTCTGACTGGCACCGCTCTCTCCTGGTTCTCCTACCAACTGACTGCACCTTTTCAATCTCCTTTGCTGGATCTTCCTCCAAGTGACACCTACAACCTGTGAATATCCCACAAGGCTCAGTCTTGGGCCCTCTTCTCTTCTCCTTCAGTATTATCTCACTTGGTGATCTATTTAATCAGCCCTAACCTCTCTCCTGACTTCCAGTTTCATATCATCAATTGCTTATTAGACATCTTGAACATGATATCCCAGAGACATCTCAAACTCAGTGTGTTGAAAAGTGAATCTATTGTATCTTCTCCTTATCTTCCCAGCATTCCTGTTATTATCAAAAGCACCATCACGCTCCCAGTCACCAGGCTTATACGCTGGCTACCATCCTTGACCCTTTACTAACATTCACTTCACATATCCAATGTGTTGCCAAGTCTCATCATTTCTACCTTCACCACCTCTCTTGTCTATGTCACCCTTCTCTCCACTCACACAGCCACCACCCTAGCACAGGCCTCATCATCTCATGCTTGAACTACTGCTGGAGCCTTCTAGTGCATCTCCCTGACTCCAATCTCTCCCCACTCAGAGATATATTCCTTAAGTGCAGGCTTGCCTATGTCAAGCCCCTCTCCAATAAACTCCGGGGCCCCTATTAGCTCCAGGATCAAATATAAAATCCTCTGTGTTTAAGTCCTTCACCACTGAGCCCCTTTTTACCTTTCCAATCTCCTTTCATTTTATTCCTTTCCACCAAGAACAATGGCATTCTTGGTATTCTCACTCCAGACAATCCATCTCCCTACTCCATCTTTGCCTTTTCACTGGCTGCCCTCATGCCTAGCATATTCATCCCCAATTCCACCACCTGGTTTCCCTGGCTTCTTTCAAGACTTAGCTCATCTCTCTTCCTTCTGAGAAAGGCCTTCCCCTTTACCCCCATCTTCCTACCATTGTTTCCCTCTGTACATACCACTGAGGCACTTATATACCTTGCATGTAAAGAGTGGTTTATATGTTGTCTCTCACCCATTAGAATGTGATCTCTTTGCAAGAAGCAACTTTTGCCTCTGTTTGTGTCTATACAACTTACTTAGCACACTCCATGGCACATAATAAGCACCAAATAGATGCCTGTTTACTGACTGAAGAGGGAAGAGACCAGAACCAAGAGAACCATTTATACCATAACAACATGATGAAGAAAAACAACTTGGAAAGACGTGAGAACTCTACCAAAGCAATAGCCAACTCTGATTCTAGAAGAATAGAGAAGCATGCTACCCACACCCCCTGAGAGTGCAAACTAAAGCATGCGTTTCTGGACATGGCCAATGAGAGAATATCCTTTGCTTAATGACATATATTAGGTACAAGTGTTTTTATTTTGTTTCTTGGCTGGGGGGGTGGGGATGAAATGGGGAGAGGCAGTAAGAGGGAGAAAAAATGCTTTCGAATTGAAAAAAAATTATCATAAAAGCAAAATAATAAAAATATTTTCTAAAAATTAACAGTAAGGGTAGTGTTGAAGAAAGAAAGAAATCAAAAGAGGGCAACATGAAGACTTAAAGATGAGCTCATGAATGAAGCCTTGACTTGGTGGGAGAAAGAATTATTACAGGATGATTATCTGCACATTATCCTTGAGCCTTGTTTAATAACAATTACAACTGACATTTATATGGTACTTTAAAGACTGAAACACAGTAGGTACTTAAGAAATGCTTATTGATTAATCAATTCTATAGACTGTCTTGTTTGCTATGCCAGCTGCTGGCAAAGCCATCCTTTCCAATGACAGTGGCCTCCTTATTATCTAGTACTAATTTGCTTGAGCTCCTTTCAAAGGAAATGTCTTTGTTTTACTTACAATAAGAACAAAGATTTTTCTACAGACTCTATTTTTAAAGGGGGGAAGGGGAAATTTTCCCAAAAGAAAATCAAGATGGCTAATTTTCACTGAAAGTATTATTTAACTTCAGTGATATCAACTCCTTATCTCTACAGAGCACTGAAAATACATCCTTCTTTGTTTTATACTTTGTTCACTTTGTCTCAAAAAAGCCTAATGTTCCACAAAGAAAGGGCTATATTGCTTTCTCATTTGTTTGGAATACCAAAACGAAACCCAGAGGAATCTTTGGGGACAATTTTGCTTGAGGCAAAGTATTCTTATCCCCTCCTTTACAAATAATGGAAGGAGCCTCAGAGACTTGAAGTGCTTGGCCCAGGGTCACCCAGCTGATAAGGGTCTGAAGCAGGATTCACTACAGCCTTCTCAGACCCAAGTCCAGTCCTCCGTCCATAAGACCCCGATGCCTCTCTTACTACAGACTGGCCCGTTTCATTGAGCAAGAGGTCAATCAAGAGTAATTAGCCAATCACTTAACTAGCACTTATAAAGTGAGTGCCTACTAGGTGCCAGAAACTGAGCTAAGGGCTAGAAATAGCCTGAAGAGGTTTACAAGGATGGGTGATAGTTCAGTGGGCACTGGGCATGGAGTTAGGGGACCTGAGTTCAGGTCCCAGCTCAGCCAATTATGTGAACTTTGGCAAGTCAAATGTTCTCAATGGGTTACCGCTTCCCTCAGCTGCAAAATGAAATGATCAGGTTAAATTGTCTCCAGGTTATCTTACAGATCAGCCTCTCTAGCTTTCTCTGGTGCTAGGATTCTAAACTATTCATGTAAGCCTCACCATGTTTGGTCAGAATCCCAGGTAGGGCAAATGCAATCTGGAAAGAAGATAGTAATCAACTTTCTCAATGTAAGAATGGATCTAGTTTTCTACCAATCATATAACAAACTTCAATTCTTCGATGTACCGCTGTTGTTATTTCACAAATGTGGGTACTCACGTCAGTAAGAGATATTCCACAATTTGCAGCCACATAGCATCAGAAGAATATTAACATTAAAAAAGATAAGTTTTTGAAATGTTTTACATATTTACACACGTATAGCCTATATCTGATTGCTTACCATCTTAGGTATGGGGGAGAGGAAGAGACTACGGGAGGGACAGAATTTGGAACTCAAAACTTCAAATAAATGTTAAAAAATTGAAGGAAAAAAAAGGTCAAGTTTTAGAGGGAAAAAAAGGTGAGTTTTTGCTCCAAAGGGAAGGGCTAGGAGTCCTTAAAAACACTGCCCCATTTCCCAAATACAATCCAGCCCGTTCTCTTCTACCATACCTCACTGTACATCTGCTATGTCTGTCTGAGATAGAAGTGTTGCTAGTACAACATAGGGGACTGTTCACCCAAGTATATATTATGAGGATGAGATCCTTTTAAGTCAAGAACCTGATTACAATCCAAAACAGACTATTTTGCTTTTCTGTACTGAATGTTTTCTGTACTGAAAACATTAAGCTGTGGTAATTTAGCCACCAATTTGGAAACTTTTAGCTACTGTTCATTTTGAAACCTGCTTTTGATATTTATACACTAATTTCAAACCTGATTTGGCTGTTCTTGATTTAGAAGGAAAAAGAGATTCCTGGAATAAGATGCAAGTTCACTTCAGAACCTATTTCAAAGACTACATAATGATTTCCAGAGTTGGTTGAGCTTTTTATTCATGTTTAATGTAAAAGGAAAAGTTGTCTCTAATATTTCCGTAAAGATCTACTGTTCTGGTTTTTCTCAGTTTTTATGATAGTTTTATTCATCATACAGCAATATGGTGTATAATTTATACTTATTAAAAGGGTCACACAATTGAATTTTTATGCTTTGTGTCTCTGTTTAACATCCACTACAAATACAAGGTTATCTAAAATTAGAAAACACACCTTAAAATGACATCCCACCCAGACATTGTTTACGTTCGGCCATCAATCTCACTTTTTCTCCCAGCAGAGTGAATTAGAAGAGTGATAACTATCTCAGCCCAAAGGGTACAACGTACAATTAAGACATTAAACAGGAAACCAAGGAATGTGAAAATAGACAGAATCCCACTAGTGCCACCTACAGCAGACATGGAGAATGCAGCTAAGACTGGTTTAGAACAAAACAAAACTAGGAGGGGCTGTTTACCCAAATCCATGGCATCTTACAGTAAGTCATTACAATTTTACAGAAAACCTTTCACTGAACACAGAAAATCATAACCAGCTAGTTCAAGAAATGAATACGCTTTTCATCAGAAGGGAGGATTTGAAATTGAACAATCACCTAACTTTGCACCAAGCCAAAAAGAACGAGAAATAATATCCAAAAGGCATTACGTATGCATGTGCGTGCACATGTGTGTGTGTGCATGTGTGCGTGCATGTGTGTGCATGCATGTGGGGAGGTAAAGGGACAAAGTTAGATACAGAGATGGCTTTGAATACTGACAATATTAGTTCAAAAAACATCAAGACAGTCATGGGAAGACAACTTAAAATGGAGCATTAGAGCTCATAACGAACCTTACCTTACACTCCACCACACTCTGATCTGATTCACAAGTAACATAGATTTCGTCTACTGCTCGTCGAAGATTGTCAAACAGGAATGCCCAGTAGCGTGCTCTTAGGTCAATTTTCCGAGGGTGCCTTGTTTTAGTGGGACTTTTCTCAAAATGTTTATCTCCAGCTGAGGATGATGTTATTTTACAGTCTACTGTAGCATTCTAAAGAAAGTTTAAAAAAAAGAGACATTTTTATTGTCAAGAAATTTTAATTTTATGTAATATACATTTAACATATTTAAACACTTTTAGACAAAACATTCTCCTTTTCAACTTGCGCCATATTACATCTATGTTAACTGAAACTAAGTTTCTTGCCATAAAACAAAAGGGCAGTTTTATGATTCAGTATTTTGTTTCAAATATTATTTGGTGAATATTTAAGTCAGGTTCAATAGTTGAAAATATTTTGAAAATAAAAAGTCACACATGTGGTGCCTCATTTAATGGAACACAAGTCCAAAGATTCCTCATGGTACAGGAATGACCCTGTTTTCTCCAAGACTCAGCTGGTGTAACACAAGCTCTGAAAGTTCCTACCATGGCAGAAATGCTTCCAGGACACTGGCTGATTATTATCTAAGGAGCAGACCAGCTAAATATGGAGAGGTGCATTCTCAAAACAAGGCAGTGAATTTTTCAGTCAGAGCAATTTGTAACGTTATCTACTAAGGCACAGAGGGCCTGGAAATAGCATCACCTGCTGTGACTGACCACTGTGATTATACCCACAGATCACAAACCTATGCCAAGTCCAGCACAAATTTCTATCCACAAATGTTATTCCTAGATAGCTGAGTACGAGTCAGAAAGGTATGAGTTCAAATTCCACTTCATACCACTTACTAGTGATATGATCATGGACAAGCCGCTTAACTTCTCTACAACTCACTTGTCTGTGAAACAAAAATATCAATACATGTAGTATCTACCTCCCAGGGTTGCTGCAAGGCTCAAATGAAATAATAATGCCATAATATTAATACCAATTATTAAATGTATATATTAAATGTATCTCTTTGCTTAATTTAAAATTGAGAATTCACACTACAGGTACAGTCATTGCCCTAATTTCATCTTATACTATTTTCCCTATGATAAGTAAAAACCACAATGAAGACAGAAAAGAAACGAACAAAAAAAAACTATGAGCATAATTAGAATCAAGAACCCTAGAGAGCCAACTATAACTGAATAATGAATTGAAATTGTATTCACACATGTCTAAAACATACATGAAACATTATTCAATCATCTGGTTAAATGTTCCTTTTTATAAATACAAAATTACTTCCTATTTATAGAATTTCAGAAAATTTTTATAGACTAATGAGTAAAACAAGATTAATCTGAGAGAAAAGAAGATATGCACTACCATTGAGTTATCTAAGTGGAAAATTCAAAACTAGTATTTCAGCACTAAATATAAAACACCTACACATCATTCCACTGATACTTTACAAACTGAATTAAAATTAAAATCTGACCTATTCCAGCACAGGCAATATTCAATGCCAGCTGGGTCTGTTATCAGGAGACACCCAGTCTGCAGGAACACCTATCACAGATGTTACACCCTTTAATGTCGTGTTTCAGCCCTAGGCTACTAGCGTTATGTTGTTTCCCATCCATTACAAACACCCTCTTTCCACAAGGGAATCTTTTGTAACTGTATTACTGATTTCAGAACAGAATCTACAAAGAATACTAGAATCACTGCCACCAGAAAAAAAAAATCAAACCCCAAAGCAAAATACTATGATACGGAGAAAAGCTCTCCTTCCTTCGACTACTTCTCTCTCACAGCAAATTTGCTGTCCTGGCAGCCAAACTTCACCAATCTGGAAATTAAATTTCAACAAAGTATCATTCTTCATTCTATTATTTCTAATTAATTGGCATATCCTTATTTTTTTCTAGACAGCATTTGTCTGTGGTTCTCTCGTTGTTCTGACTTATTGACACTCTATCATCTTCTGACTAGACCCGACTGAAGTCACAAAACATGGGTTCTAAACCTGGCCCTACTAACTACTAGGAGCATGACCTTGGGAAGATCACTTGCCCTTCAGTTTCCTCAACTGCAAAATGAAAGGGTTGAATCAGTTGATCTCCAAGGGTATTCAAAGAAAACTCTACGGCAGGGGTGAACTTGTGGCCATGAGGCCACATGTGGCCCTCTAGGTCCTCAAGTGCGGCCCTCTGACTGAATCCAAACTTCACAGAACAAATCCCCTTAACAAAAGGTTCCCCACCACAGGTCCCCCACCCCTGGTCTATGATTTATGATTATAGCAAACACTGTCCTCACTAGAGTATCCTCTCCCCTAAAAAATCCATCCTCATCTCCACCAAAGTTGTAGTCTTTGCCCCTCCACTTTAATAAGATCATCCTGTTTAAAAGTCCTATACTGTCCCAGCTTACCATCTCACTGTGGATCACATATCAGGGCTTCAAAGCACTTGACAACATGGCTTAGAAAGTACTAGGGACAGCTACGTGGCACAGTGGATAGAGCTCCGGCCTTGGAGTCAGGAGGACCTGAGTTCAAATTCGGACTCAGACACTTGACACTTACTAGCTGTGTGACACTGGGCAAGCCACTTAACCCCAACAGCCTCATCAAAAAGCAAAAAAAAAAAAAAAAGAGAGAGAGAGAACCTACTTGCATGGCCTTCATACACAACAACACAGTTTACCCCCTACTCTCACCTCAACTACAAACTGCCCACAGTACTGAGAATCTTCAGTCTTAAACAGTCTGGCAAGTCATCTCTCCCATGACTTAAAAAGCTTCTAGGATCCTACCTTATACTTTGTATACCAAAAAACAATGCCAGTAGTTCTCTATCAATCCATATCCCTTCATGGAACATTGAACTCCAACAACAATTCTTCATTTGTCCCCTGTTAGGTAGCTACAGTTGTCCCCCTAAGGTGCACTTTACCATGATTTGTATATGATATGAATCCTTCAGGTATTAGGTCAATGTTCCTATTCTATTTCTCCAACCAATCTCACCCCCTGACCTTTTGTCATATGATTATGTACGTACTGTCTGTCTTAAATGGTAAACTCCTTAGGGGCAGAGATTAGTCTATGTAACTCAATCTATATGATACTCCACACTGTGCATACTAAGATATTTAAAGATATTTTAAAAATTCATAATTGTTCCCAACATGGGCCACATTTTTCCCCAAATCTCTAGTTTCCCCAATACCATGAAAGCCATCAGCAACAGTTTCTTCACCAGTCATCTATAGTCTAGGGCATTTAAGTGGAGCAGTGGTAAAACCACAGGACTTGAAATCAGAAAGACCGGAACTCAAATTCTGCTTCAGACACTTATTAACTGTGTGACCCTGGGCAAGTCACTTAACCTCGCTGTGTCTCAATTTCCTCATCTGTAAAATGGGGATACTAACATCAACCTCATAAAGTCACTGTGAGGACATATGTTAAAACAAAACAAAACAAACTTTGTAAACTTTAAAGTACTATATAAATGCTATTTATTATTGTTATTATTATTATTATCATTAGTAGTAGTAGTATGTAGACATACTGGTATATTTAAAAATTCCAAAATCAAAGGCTCAACACAAAAAAAAATCAATAAAACTCTTTATGAAATGAAAAATAAGCACCACACCATCCATCTCATGCAGTGAGAGAAACTTGTGTTCCAATACCCTAAAGTTGTTGTTGTTGCTCATTCAGCAGAGTCTGACTCTTCAGGACCCCGTGGATCACAACAGCCCAGACCCTTCTGCCCTCTGCTATCTCCTGAAGTCTGTCCAAAATCATGTTATGTTCATCATTTCCATGACACTATCTACCTTCTCCTCTGCCATCCCCTTTCCCAACGTCAGGGTCTTTTCCAATGAGTCTCATCTTCTCACTACATGGCCCAAGTATTTAAGCTTCAGCTTCAGTATTTGACCTTCCAGTGAATACAGCCTAAATTGACTTCTTTGAATGCTGACTGATTTGATCTCCTTGCTGTCCAATGGACTCCCAAAAGTCTTCTCCAGCACCACAATTTGAAAGCATCAATTCTGCAGCATCCAGCTTTCCTTACAGTCCAACTCTCACAGCCATGCGATGCTACTGGAAAAACCACAGCTGACTATATGGACCTCAGCTGGTAAGATGATGTCTCTGCTTTTCAGTAGGCTGTCCAGACTGGCCACAGCTTTCCTTCCAAAGAGAGAACATCTTTTAATTTCATTGCTGCAGTCACTGTCTGCACTCATCTTTGAACCTAAAAATATAAAATCTGACACTGCTTTATTTCTTATCCTTCTATATGCCAGCCGTGATAGGATACAAGCTGCCAAGCAATTGGGTTTTTTGGCATTAAGCTTTAAGCCAGCTTTTATACTCTCCTCTTTCACCCTCATAGATGGCTTCTTAATTCTTATTCTCTGTCAGTCAGCAGACTGGTACTGTCTGCCTGTTGTTACATTTCTCCCAGCAGCCTTCATTCCGGCTTTTCAGTCATCCAGCCTGACATTTTCAATATAAGTTACATAAACAAGGTGACAATAATGTACCCTTTCTGAACTAGCGAAAGATCTAACAGTTAAACCAGAATCAAAGGATATTACAGATAGAGAGGATCTTAAAATTCAGCAGCCTCAATTTGCCCATGAAAAAACTCAGGACCAGGGAGGAAGTGACCTGCCCTAAGTCATCCACCAAGAAAACCCAGGTCTCAAAACTCCTAGTGCAGGAGTCTTTTCGTATCACAAGCACTTCACTAAGAAAGAGAGCAAAAAAGAACTCACATATGCAGACTCAGTGATCAAATCAGAGCATCGCTTTATGGAATGTACTAAATGAATCAAAATCCAAATTTGTATGTAAAACAATACGGCAATATATAATTCCTGAATGATTAGCTCCATATATCATAACGTTAGGGAGCTGGTTGAAAGCATGAAGTAGAATGTTGATACTGCACCTGTTTAGCAGTCTTCTGGGTGCCCGGAATAGTTCTCTTAGATTTTCCACCAGTCTGCCACTTAGACTTCCCTTCAAGAAAACAAAAACAGGTTGTCACTTACATAAAAATCACTTCAATTAATTCCTTCAGACATCCAAAGATTTAACCTCTTCACTGTCTTCAGCACTAATAAGATTTTCATACCACTTCTTTGATAGAGTATTGGAAATTCTACAAATTGCAGTAAGAGAGATAAAAGATATTAGTGCCAAGGGTTATGGACCTCTCTTTGGCAGCCTAGATAAAACTATGGTCTCTTTTGCTGCCTGATCATCGCCATCATGGGTCACACGCTCCCAGGGAGGGCTTGTCCCAGTTGGCTCTGCCTTACTGCCAAAGTGTGCCCACATGGCTGAAGCTCACCTCGGACGATGGGAAGGAGTAGATCTACAAGCTGGCCAAGAAGGGCCTGATTCCCCCCCCCCCCCGATTGGCATGATTCTGAGGGATTCTCATGGCATGGCGCAAGTACACTTTGTTAACTGGCAACAAAATTCTGAGAATTCTGAAGTCCAAGTAACCTGCCATTGATCTTCCTGAAGATCTTTATCACAGAAAGCTGTTACTGTTCGAAAGCATCTTGAGAGAAACAGAAAGCACAAAGATTCTAAATTCCATCTGATTCTGCACCAAGAGCCAAATTCACCAGCTGGCCAAGAGAGTGCTCCAACCAAACTGGAAATATGAATCATCCACAGCCTCTGCTCTGATTGCATAAATTTTGGTTTATGTACTAAAATAATAAAGTCACATCTAACTGAAAAAAAAAACCTAATAGGCTCCTTTCTCAGAATAATGGTTTAAATAGATGAAATACAAAGATATAAATTATACGAAATGAATTTATAAAAATATTTTAAAAACAATTCATGGACTTCAAGTCAAGAAGCCCTGCATTAGTAAAATTAACAATGGAAAAGAAGATGTTAAAATATCATTACTTGTACTTCGTTGTGGGGTTTTTTTTGGTGAGGCAATTGGGGTTAAGTGACTTGCCCAGAGTCACACAGCTAGTGAGTGTCAAGTATTTGAGACCGGATTTGAATTCAGGTCTTCCTGACTCCAGGGTCAGTGCTCTGTCCACTGTGCCACCTAGCTACCCCAATATCATTACTTGTAAATCACATTATAGTATATCTAGAAAATCCAGTCATTGCAAGAAAATAAATTATGGAGGCAATAGATGTTTTTGGTAAAGATTCAACATACAAGACTAATCCACAAAAATCATATGAATTCTTATTTACTAATGACAAGGACAAAAAATTATAAAAGACCATTTATAATAACAAAAATTATCAAATACCTGGGAATTAATTTACTATAAAGGCATATAGTAGGCTAATATATATAAATATATGGCATCTTAAAAACTACAATGAATGAAATAAGGAAAAACAAATAAATGGAGGACCATTCATCAATCAAAAATGAGTAGGATTAATAAAAATGACAGTGCTCCTCAAATAAAGCATATAGTTAACCAATACTAATCAAATTATCAAACATTTTCTTTATACAACTGGACAAAAACATAATAAAACTTACATGTAAAAACAAATAGACGAGAATATCAAGAGACATGCTGGGAAAAAAAAGGTCAAGATTGGTCTTACACTCTTGAACTTTAAGGTTTATTACAAAGAGATAATTATTCTTGTTGTTAATAATAATAATGATAGCTAGAAATTATATAGTACTTTTGGGTTTTCAAGGTGCTTTACAGACACAGCTAGGTGGCGCAGTGGATAGAGCACCAGCCCTGGAGTCAGGAGGACCTGAGTTCAAATCTGGCCTCAGACACATAACACTTACTAGCTGCCTGACCCTGGGCAGGTTACCTAACCCCACTGCCTAACAAAAAAAAAAAAAAAGAAAGAAAAGAAAGCAAAGTACTTTACATACATCCCCTCATTTAAGTCTTTCAAAAAATGTTTTTCAATTATCAAAGATCTACCTTTTCTCTTTCCCACAAAGCATCCCCACTACCAACAGAAAGAAAAACAAAACACTCCCTGTCACAAATGTGTAACAAATTTCCACATAAGTTAAAAAAAAAAATATATATATGTATCTGCCTCTCCCTTACCCCACTCAGTGTATTCCTCTTCTTCTCCCTTTCATTTTTTTATGCTTATTCTTACAGACTTATTTTCTGACTTCTGGAAGAAATGTCTGGGCCATGCTTAATCCTCTTTTGTGCTCTACTTTCTGAGTGTACTGACTATTGTGTTATTCTAGGATGTTAAGGACAGCTCAGCCTGAGAACCTGCAAACTTTCCGTTTACCCAAAGCAGTCTGATCTTCAAGGGCTAAGTCTGAATGCTGTCCTCATGGTCTGACTTCTGCCAATTTCTGACCTGGGCGTGGGTCTGAATGACACAACTGTGGGTTTACCCCTGTTTGGAGCTCCAACAGACTGCTATGAGCCTTGGCCACTGTCAGCCAGCTAGAAGGCTCTGCAGGGTCAGAAGGACACACTTGCAGGCTCCCCTTTGGTCTGGACCTCCTGTCTTGCTGATTCCAGTGCAGGCTTGGGCCCAGCCTGAGGGCTGGTGTTTGTGGAGTGGTTGGGGGATCAGCTGCACTGCACTGCTGCTTCTTACCCAACCATCTTAGCTATTCTCTTCATTGAAGCTGACTTGTATAAGGTCATATAACTGATGATGTGGTGGATCAAGGTCAAAAACCAAAGCTTTCCAACCCCAATTCCAGTGTTCTTTTCCACTGGAAGGTGGGAAAATTATATATTATTATTATTATTTTACAATTAGATCTATGCAGCAATGAAAGGGCTTGCCTCGATGGCAGCGAGCTCCCTGTCACTCCAAGTGTTCATTCACGGCTAATATCTATATTTAGGCAAGGCTGGAGGAGGCATTTCTTCTCTGTATGGAAGTCTAAATAGATGACCTCCAAGATCCCTTCCATTCTGCAACTGAGATAAAGTATATTTTTGCAGACCTTGCCCACTCTATTGCCCAAAGGTCACAATTAAACCTTTTTTTAAAAATACTTATTGGGCTGAAGATCCCATTTGCTATTTCATGACTCAGCTAAAAAATCAAATTCACAAAACACATGAAGGAATGAGTTCATAATTCAAAGTTTAATTAAAAAGATTTAATACTTTTCTTTTTTCATGGATAGGTAAGTATTATAAAAGGAAAGGATTACAGATTTTCCTACTTACTTCACCAATCTATCGGTTAAAAGCACAGGACTATTTAGGTATAAAGTCACCCATAAAAAGAACACTACCAAGAGACAAACTTCTGGGGAGGCCAAAGGGAAGAACTTGTGCACGCACAGTTCGTTCTTTGTGACATATTTCATATGTTACTGTTGTGGCTGCGGTCGTGGTTGCTCAGTCATTTCAGCCCGGTCCAACTCTTCATGACGCAATTTAGGGTTTTCTTGGCAAACACACTGGAGTGGTTTGCCATTTCCTTTTCCAGCTCATTTTACAGATGAGGAAACTGAGACAAGCAGGGTTAAGTGACTTGCCCACACAGCTAGTAAAATGTCTGAGGTCACATCTCAACTCACATCTTCCTGACTCCCGGCCTTGCACTCTATCCACTGAGCCATCTAGCTGCCCCATATCATATATTTCTTTCTTTTAAAGTCTCTGTGATTTACTTACAGGTTTTGTGTTGTTCCAGTCCCAGGAATATTAAAAGTTCTAAGAAATCAACCTGTGTGACAGCTGTGTGAACAGACAGAAGGGGATGTACTCTAAAGACAACGGAGGTAGAAAAGACAAGAAGAGATGGTAACTAGATAGAGGGGATGAGTGAATGTGAGGAAGACAGGATGACACCACGGTTGCGATCCTGGGAAGATGGTAGTGCTCTTGAAAGAAACAGGGACGACTGAAAAAGAACTGGATTTGGCAGGGCGGGGGGCAGAGTTCTGTTGTTGAGTGTGACATGTCTATGGCAGTTCCAATTCAAAATTTCCAACAGGTGATTGGTGATACTGGACAAGAGCTCAGGAGAAGGACTAGGGCTGGATATATAGATATGGGAGCTATCTGCATAAACATTGTCCCATGGGAGTCAATGAGGTCACCAAGTGAGAAAATGCAGACAGAAAAGAGGGCCCAGGACATAGCCTTAGGGTTCAACCACAGTGGGCAAGGCACAGATGTTGGTCCAGCAAAAGAGACTGAAAAAAGTTATCAGACAGGTAAGAGGAGAACCAAGAAAGAAACCCAGAAAGGAGAGGCAAAAAAAGGAACACTGGATGGTCAACAAGGTAAAATGCTACAGAGACGCCAAAAAGGATGAGAATTAAGAATAAACTAAGAGGGGGCGGCTAGGGGGCACAGGAGATAGAGCACTGGCCCTGGAGTCAGGAGCACCCAAGTTCAAATCCAACTTCAAACACTTACTGGCTGTGTGACCCTGGGCAAGTTACTTAATACTGACCCCCTCAAAAAAAAAATAGACTAAGAGTTCTAGCAATTAAGAGGTCACTGTTGACAATGGATGAAGCAACTGAGTTTAATGATAAAAGTCAAAAAGCCAGATTGCAGGAGATATAATAACTTCTATTAACACATTTGGCTACTCTGAATATACAAAACTTTTGGGTAGACTACGTGGCATATTATGTCTCAATTTGGAGCATATTCTCCCCTGTGGGATCTAGAGATTATGTCTGTGCCCAGATCAAATTTATTTGTGCATCTTTTCTCTAAAAGTTCCCTTTTCAGGAAGAGTCAAAGGCTCTTTCTATTCCTCTAATTAAATTAGAAAGAAAAAATTCCCTTTAATATCTACTAATCTTCTTTGTGACAGCGGAAGATACACCACTTGGGGAATGAGGACCAAGTGACAAGAGGCGGCACTAGCATCCATGACAGGTGGTCAGAGAACAGTAAATACTCATATATCCTGAATACATCACTATGTCTAATACTTTTCTTCTGAACTTTTAACACTCAAAATTCTGGAAATAAGCAATTTTTTCTTTAAGTTGTTCTTATTTTCTTTTTAATTCAAAACATACAAAAAGATTGCAT